TTACATTGAATTTTTTGCCTTTGGTACTGCAAAATACGGAAATGGTGTAGATGTATGCTTTCAAGTTGCAAATGGAGGAAGTAAATGAAGTAAGTAAACATATAAAGTAGATCATGGCTCCAAGAAATTGTGGCACTTGAAATGCAATGATGCAAAATCGAATCAGTGTCAGAGCACACAGCATGCTCACACATCCACTTAGAGATCTTTGTGTGACACTCTGTATAGTCACTAACATTCACTTTATGCCGAGATTACTTTAAAAGTAAATGTTTGTACATCGCTGGCTAAAATAACATATACGAGTCACTTGGTCAGCGAACAAGTTCACCAAAACTTTAGATTACGGCTTATGCATCCATATGATGCATGTTTTCCCTTCAGGCGGTATAGAAAACTGACTCCTGTTAACCAGATGAGAGTTTCATTGATATGACTGAATATTACAGACAAAAAATGTATTTCATTATTGGACCGGTTTGTTGCTCGATCAATAAGAGTGATCCAGATTTTGACTCTTGTATTGCAGTTGCTACAATACCGTAAATCGATGCATATACTGTACTGAACGTTTGTGGGATGTTAGAATACGTCGTACGAATCAGAGAAGGTACATGCATAAATTTCATTAGCAAATTCGGAATAATGAAAGTATTATGGACCATGTAAGTAAGTAATCAACCAAACAATTCAATAAGTAGATAGATAAGAAATATGGGAACAAGGAAGTGCATGAAAGTGAGAAGCAATTAAAGTGCATGTAGGCATGCATGCAATTCACTTAAAAGATAAATATATGCAATTAAAGTGTAAGCATATTCCTGAACAGTGACAAGATGGCAGCCGTGTTACAGCCCATAGATTAAGTGGCAAACAAGAAAAAATGGAAATACCATGAGCTACTGAGCATGTGTGGATTTTGTGCATATATATCAAGCTGTCTATATGCCCAATTATGCAATATCACGAATGACTGCTTCGAGATCAGATTTCAGGCATATTGTACCTTATCCTTGCTCATGGGGAGCCCTTTAAGGGCTTAAATACAATGGATCCGTGGCCTGCTTAATGTTACCTTTAGGTAACTGCAAGAAGTCGGCGCCATACACCGTGAAATCTCGTTTTGGAAGAGTCATTTGCTATTCGACGTATTCAAGCATACGAACTGCTCATGATGCTTATGTGATAGCATATAGGATGTACCCCCTCCTACAACATGGTTCATGATGAGCTCGAGTTGGCTCTAGCGGACAAAATAAAACAAAATGCATCTGGAACGGCAGGTGTTCAAATATCAAGCAGCTATGGCCTGCTTAAATGGAACCCACTGGGAGAGGGGGGAATAACAATCTTCATTAAGATCTGACTTTATTGCACTGCTGTCAGACTAATTTTGCCCTGTGGATTGGTAACATTTGTGCTTACTAAAACGAAGGAGCATCGCCTGGGCAGCCTCCAACAATTAAGGGTACGATCGTGTGAGAAACGACCATGCTCACGCACTGGCCGATCTGTATAAAATTTCTGAATTGCTCAGAGACCGAAGGTTGGCATGGTTCGACCAGGCTTCCCTGACTGCTGAAACACGGTCAGTTAAAGATCGGTGGCCAGCATATCACTTGGCAGAGGAGAAAACTTTCCTTCGTCGACGCAGTAAATGGACCCTAATATCAAAATGTATAATGCTGAGATGAGCGGAGATCACGAGTCATAAGCACCGCGCAAGTTTGCAGGCTGCCAAAGATGAAAATGTCAGCCACTTCCATTAAATGGCCCATATTTGCAACCAAGAACAAGAGGGCTGTACAATTACATCATAAATTCTGGTCCTGGAGAAGTCATTCTTTATGGGAGAATCATCATACATTACCGTAAAACAAGCTTAGTTTAAGGCAAAGTTGAATCCACCAAATAAACTACTATATGACTTGCAAATTTTTCTGAATAAAAAATTCTGCTATTATTGCACACTGAGAATGAGTAGTAAGTCGACAAACAGCGTATGATGACTTGATTTGATCATGTTAAGCTAACGAAACTTATGGTCATGCTATTTTGTGATTTGTAATTTCTGATACTCGAATCAGAGAATATGCTAATACGATTACGAGCAAGGCGATGAAACTATGACAGTAAATATTCTAATGGCATAACTATCATTCAAGTTCAAGGAATAATAAAACTAAATTACCAAGATCTTCCTCTTTCAGCTTTTCGTTTTTTCTGATGGTCGTTATCAGAAACGAGAAGCACTTGCGAGACCAAATGAACAGCGTATAGCCGATAAACAGTGTTATGAATATAATCAGCTGATGTTGTTTAAATGACAGTTTCGCCATAGCCAGTCTAAAAGGACCACCACCGTGGTCGAAGAGTAAACGAACTACTCACACATGGTATTAAAGCGATATCACTTTTTGTGAAAAATACAGTGAAAAACAACTAATAAAACAACTTTATTCACAAAAAGAAAAACAAGAGAACAAACATAACACATGTATGGTCACTAAAAAATAATCTCTCCCTCTCCCAACTGATCAAAATTCAGAACAAAAGGTTCATTCGACACTTCCGGCAGTAGAAGGAACCGTCTTGATCGTCAAACGTCGAAGCAGAAGGGTTAAACAGGTATCACAGACACGGACAGGCTTCGCACTGGACGGCAGAGGCAACGTGTTTGCGCTACAGCCATTGCAAAAGATACCACCGCAGCTTCGGCAGTGATGCTAAACAACAGATCACGAAGAAGCGTTTATATAATTCAAACATAATTAGATCACAGTGAGACGTTGGTATGACAGAGCAAAACATGGGAAATTAAGAACTATCAAGAACAATATAAAGCTCATATAGCGCTTAGACAAAACTGAGAACAACAGCCACTTCGTACTTACTTTTCTGCGGCTTACGGAAAACTTTTGAGAACAACTTTTGCACTCTATCGCTTCCTTATCGTCCACCCACTGAGCGTCCGTAAAAGGCAGTATGTCCTCTTTCAAGTTCTCCACTTTGAGCTTTGACCTTCCAAAAAAAATCCAGCAGATATAAAAACGAAATAATCATCAGAAGTAAACGCTACTCTGACAAATGAATGCCCACTTCCTCCAACGCCCTCTCGTAATCGCTGACCTTCGTCAGCAGTTCTTCACAGAAATCGCGCAGTTCAGAGTTTCGCTTAAACGAAAAGACATTTCTAAATTATTCGAAATCGAAACGCCAAATTTCGCGAGTTCGATCCTTTTAAAATATCATTAATGTGAGCAATAAAAGTTTTGAAAATTGTCAATCAAGTACAATGAATAAATATAGCAATTAATGCCGCACATCATATTAAATATATTATACAATAACTATTGAATAAGGTACATGATTTCTTTATGCGGGAGATGATATGATGCTTTAGTAAGGATCAAACAGAAAGACAGCACATTAAATATTCTTAAGGCCTTTAGTAAAATGAACCTGAAAACGGGCCGAGTTTGGTCAGATGGCCTTAATTAAAGAATGTATCCTTTCCATTTGTGACTTACAAAAGCATCATATAATAAATATTAGAATACTTAGTTCGCGCACTTCGTGGTAATTATTGAAAAACACCTCTAAGACGGTTCGCTTTTTCTGCTTCTTTCAAATTTCTTTCAAATTAAATTGTATTGCCGCATAATAGGGGAAATAAGTCTTCGTTACAGGTAAATAGGAAAGAAGCCCGATAAAAGAACTCCTT